ATTTGAGGTGAGGATCGACATCTAGTTGCTCTATCAAGAAGCAGCAGGTGTTTTGGTTAACTCATTACCTGAGATAGGTGATGCAGTTGTTTCCTATTTTTCCGAGCTCTATTCTGTTTGAAGAGCAGATTGACCCTGAGTATATTCTGCAGTATATTCCAAACCTGGTCAGTTCTGAAGATAATGTAAAATTAATGCAGTTGCCAAATGATCTTGAAGTAAAGAATGCTGTGTGGAGCTTAAATCAGAATGGGGCACCTGGACCGGATGGTTTCAATGGAAAGTTTTTTAAGAAGTGCTGGGACATAGTGGGTCCAGATGTGGTCAAAGCTGTGCAGGAGTTTCACATGGGATTCCCTGTCCCTAAGGGAATGGCAAGTAGTCTTATTGCTTTAATTCCTAAAATTGACAATCCTGATTCTTTTGCTGATTATAGGCCTATTTGTCTGTCCAATTTTATCAATAAAGTTTGCACCAAAGTTGTTACTATCCAGACTTGCATGTATTCTCTCTAAGCTGATCTCAGAAGAACAGTCAGGTTTCATGATGAACAGGGATATCTCTGAGCAAGTTCTTATTGCACAAGAGATGGTTCACTCTCTTGAAAAGAAAGTCAGGGGCTCTAATGTTATCATTAAACTAGACATGGCAAAGTCATTTGATAGGCTGTCATGGAAATTTCTTAAAGAAGTCATGGAAAGATTTGGTTTTGCTGCGCATTTCATTACTATGGTGCTAAATAATCTGTAAGCAACATATCTATCCATATTAATTAATGGGGTTCCTCAAGGTTTTTTCAAGCCCCGGAGAGGGGTCAAACAGGGTGACCCCTTGTCCCCATATCTTTTCATTTTGGCTGCAGAAGGTTTATCCAGGGGATTAAACAAACAAATGGAAAATGGACTTATCAAGCCTTTTTGGATGGGAAAGGTTGGATTCCCTGTTTCTCATCTTGGATATGCAGATGATATTTTGATTTTCCTTAATGGGGAGTCAAGATCCTTAAAGAATTTCTCAGAGTTTATTGGGGCTTACCAGACTGTCTCGGGCCAAGCAGTTAACTTGCAAAAAAGCTCCTTCATAGCTGCCAAAATCTGCCAGGGTGAGACTCAAAGGTATGCAAGATATCCTTGGCATGCAACCCCTCCTTCTTGCCTATGAGGTACCTGGGAGTTAAATTACATAAAGGCATTAATAGATATCATTACTGTGATAATATCATTAGACAGTTTGATGCCAAACTCACTCCATGGAAGTGCAAAAATTTAACTCAGGGAGGAAGACTCGTTTTGATTAAACATGTCTTAAGTGCTATCCCATTACACATTCTTGCAGCCGACACTATCCCAAGGAAAGTCATTACCATTCTTGAAAAGAAAATGAGCAACTTCTTTTGGGGTTCCTCCAATGATAGGGACAACTACCACTGGTTAGGGTGGTCTAAACTTTGTAAACCTACTGGGGAAGGGGGTCTCGGCCTAAGGTCTTTATCTCTATTAGAGAAAGCCTTCTCTGTTAAATTATGGTGGAAATGGAGAACTGGAACAACCTTATGGAATAAATTCATCAATGCAAGATACCCTAGAGGATCTAATATGGTTTCTAAAATCACCGACTCCCCCATTTGGAGAAGAATCTGTTCTATTAATTCTTTTGCTCTCTCCAATTGTGATTTTGATCAGGAAGGCGGTATTTTCTGGCAGCCTGAAGTTGATGGTATTTTTACTTTGAAATCTGCCTACAATACTCTTATTGATGATAATCCAAGCATGTTTTCTTTCCAACATGTTGGCATCCTAAGCAATCATTGAAAGTTAAGCTTTTTCAATGGAAGGTTCTTCATGGAATTCTTCCTATTACTGATAGACTGACCAGATTTCAACAGGTTTTGAACCCATCTATTTGTCCTTTGTGTTGTAAGCATGAAGACTCCCTCAATCATCTCTAGTTAGCTGTGAGGTGGTGTATCCGGTTTGGGCCTACTTTATGGGAATTCTTGAGTTCCTAGGATAAATGTTGAATGTTCTGTTAGAAAACTTACATCTCCTGGTGGCTTAAGGCTGGCTCTAAAACGATGGATGACATTTTCAGGCACAATATGCCTGGAATTATAAGTTGGGTTGTGTGGACTAATTACACAAAGATCATTTGGGGGAATCAGAAGATAACGCTTTCTACAGAAAATATCATATGCCAAATCAAGAATTTTACTCAGGCCTGGGGCTTCTAGCTTCACTCGGATTAAGGTCTGCTCTGTAGGAGCAGTTTTATTTGAGGAAAAATTAATCCCCGAGGATTTTAGAGCTATTGGATATCAAATTAGAGCAATCAAATGGCACAAACCTGATATAAATCTCAAGTTGAATGTTGATGCTTCGTACTTACCAACTAAATCTGGGGGAGGCGCGATTTTGAGAAAATCAAGCGGCGACCTTGTTGCTGCTGTCAACTTTCCCCATCGCAGCCTCTTCGAGCTTGGAAGCAGAGATCGTGGCGATGATTCAGGCGGTCAGGTGGGCAATAGAAGCTGGGTTCTCTGATTTTGAGCTAGAGATGGATGCTGCTATCGTTTTATCCATGTTGCCTCAGGTGAATATCGGTCGGTGGAAGACGATCTTTCAGGAAATGAGGCTGATTGAAAACAGACACAAAATTCGGTTCAGACATGTCCTTAGAGAAGGAAACCGGGTTGCTAATTTTTTGGCTAAATCTGCAATGGCCCAAATCCAAATTTTTAAAAACCCAAAAGATCTCCCTCTCCTGGCCCGTAATGCTTATTTCAGTGATTTATTTGGGTTTCCTTCTTTTCGTTGCTTTTACTAGTTCGGTTTCTGTATGAGAGGTTTCGGTCTAGTCCCCCTCTCTTGTACTCATTGCTCTCTTAATAAAAAAGAATGATTCACGCCAAAAAAAAAACAACTTGTAGGTTAAGCATGAGATTACCTAAATGCCTAAATAATGTTTTCCATGGATTATGATGATAAATTATTGATGGAATATTGATCTATTTTCCAAAGAATGAAATGTGAAATGATTTGGTAAAGTATTGATAAAAATGGAGTTAAATGAACTATTGTGTGAAATAGGCATTTTACTCATGTATGAATTGTGTAGATACATAAATGATTATTTATGTATTACATTGAATGATTAAGTTGCTGCTACATATCTCTAAATATGTAGGGTTTTACAAATGGAATATATGATGGATAAGAATAATCTTAATAGTATTGAAATACTAGTTAATGATTGTTGTAATTGTTAAGGAATTGAATCTATGGATTTGATTGTAATTGATGAACTTGATTGTGATGCAAGTGACTAAATTGATGTAATGTGATGCTAAGACCATGGATTGGGCAGTCCGTAGGGATGTCCCAAAATAGATTATTGATATTACAATTCTAGGCATGGTGAGTGCTTAGGAATTGGGATCTATGCCAATGTAAGGAGATGTACTTGAGCCCGTGCTCATAGAATTGCATTGGGTAGACATGATGGGGTGATTGTTGTGCATGGTGATGTAGTTGAGTTGGACTCAAGAAATGCACGGTGGAGTAGTTAACTTGTGTTAAATAAGGTGCATGGTGATGTAGTTGAGTAGGACTCGAGAATGCAAATATATGTGTTAGGGTTGAACCCTATATATTGTTGTGACTAGGGGTCACGGGGTTTGGGCTATGTTTGATAAGCAAACCTTTGGGCCTACGGGGCCGACTACTTGACTTTATATATAAAGTAAGTATATTTTAAAACGGGGTAACTTGGGGTTACGGCCTAGATTATATTATCACCCTATTTGAGGGTCTTGTGTTTGAAATACTTGTTGTATATCTATTAGATGCCATCCCACACCAGCACTTTATAGCCCTATAGAGTGCTGACCCCTTCGGGGGCGTCCCACCACCATTTTTCAGGTTGAGGCTAGAGCTTGCTTCCTGTGCTCGTTGCTCGAGAGATCATCTAGGAGGGAAGACTTGGTTCGTGCTTCCTCCATTCGGTTTTTTAAACATTAACAAACATGCTCATGAATATTTACTATAGAGCCTGCGTGCTCATGTTAGCCACGTGTGGCATTTGTTTTCAAACTATGTTTTCCGCTACGTATTCGATTGCTTATTATGTTGTTTATGGATGGCTTGCGTGTGAGTGATATTCTAGACGCCTTGTATAATATGAACGTGTTGGACTGCGGTTGACTATTCATATTGTACGGGCGGGTTGTTGACGTGTCTGGGGAGGTCCGGGGCGTGACAATTAAGTTGGTATCAGAGCCTTAGTCCATTAAACTTCATAATGAAGTCTCAAAATTCTCTTTTTGAAAAGATTTTGAAACCATGAGCATAGAAGTTTTGTACTTGGAGAGCTTTTGGTACTTGGGTTGCAAGGTCTCTAATTGTTAAGATGGTACCCTTAGCAATTGGTATGGCAGTGACTCGAGCCAAAATGTGTCTTAAGTACCTATCCGTCAATTGACATTTGATACGAGTCTAACGACTCTTTCCCAATTTCTTTCAGAAATGGACCGTGGGTGGCAGGATTACTAGGAGAAACCCGATCGGCCGTGTACCAGAGGAGACTGGACAAGGCAGTCGAAGGACCTCTAGGGCATCTAGAGGAGCTGGCCGTGGAGGCCGATCACAGACCGTGAGTGACGGTCATGTCGACACAGAAAGTGAAACCTACTGGTCCTATGAGGACTCGACTTACCAACCGGAAACCGAGCCGGTTGAGACCCCTTACGAAGGGGATGACGATGATGTGAGCGATGAAGAGGGGGAGAATGACTCCCTAGCAAGAATAGAGGCGCTGCTCCAACAATATCAACGGGAGCGCGATGAAAGGAGGGAACGCCGAAGGCGCCGGGGAGGGCGAATTTGGGTGAGGCTTCAAGAGGAAGAAGCCATGGCGATTCTTGGGCCCACATTGAACCACATGGGGGCCGGGGTGATGGAGGTCCAATCATAAGGATCTCAAAATTTCTTAAATAGGCTAGGGACTTGGGGTGCAAACCCTTGAACGGAGCAGGCGACATCTCGGTCGCCGCGGAATGGATCAAGAGGTTGAACGAGGCAGCCTTTGATATGCAACTCACCCCCGAATTTAAACTAAGGGTGGCGGTGAGATTGCTTGAAGGGATGGCATCCACATGGTGGGATGGAGCCAAGGGAAAGTATGGCAATACCGTGACTTGGGAGAATTTCCGACAGGAGTTCTTTGCCCAATATTATTCTGATTTTGAGGTGAACGCTAAAAGGAGAGAGTATACCCTTGATGTGAGTTTTCTCGCACTTAAAATGATGTAGTAAAATGGTGTAAAGTACGAGTATCGTCTCCACAGGGACGGACAAAAGGGAAATAAAGATTAACTAAACTTTAGCGATTAAAAAGAAATAAATAAAATAAAAAAAATGCAATTGTGCGAGATTGGTTGATTGATTGAAATAAAACTAATGCTAATGAGCGAATAAAAAGATTTGGTTTTCCTTAATTAACGACGAAGGGAACAGGAATTGATTCCGGGGTTAACCAGATTTCTGGCAGAACAGGCCTAATCACATGAATTTAATTTAATTGAGCCTAGCTAATCATTACTAAGTTCTTACCGCTCTCGCGGCGTAGAGTACAATAATTTAGGGGACCAGGCTGATCTCTCATGCGACAAGATCCTAAATTATTGTCAAAACGAGCGAGCTTACGGCCCCTTAATCGCTACTAATCTCTTAGCGAACGATTAAGTGTGTGTGAATGTGTCCTAGAACAAATTAGATCTCTCTTAATTTATTCTACATGCAATTGTAATTCTAGCTGCAGTCTAGGTTACAAGAGATATCAATTAAATTATTCAAACACAAATTAAACGGCATTCATGCAATTAAACCGACAAGAATCTAGCCATCAATCATGATTAACCCCTTCATCAACCCCAAATCCCTAATTAAACTACTCACGCCTCATAATTGACGAATCAAAAGAATTGGGATGAATAGAAATAATTGTCATTAATTAAAGAATTGAACTTACAAAGAATCCCAGGTTCTTGGATTAAACAACGTAAAAAACGCAGATAAACTCGTCCCTAGGTCTCTCTC